ATGGTGGTCATTATTTCAGAACGAAACTCAAATCTTATTTTATACAGAGTGTCTGAAAAATACGTCTCAATTTGTATCTTTGAAAAACAACCATAACTAATTTTTTTCAAATGGAACAACCTGTATATTATTCAATTTTCGAATTTAGCCAACCAATGTGAACAACTTTGATCAACTATGTCCTATACCTATCTCTGACCGTTTATGAGATATGAACTATTTCTAAAAAAAATTTGCTCCTATGCAAGCATAAAATTTCCAATAAAATTAAAAATCAAGTTAATAATACACAAGAGACACTTTTGAATATTATTAAATCAGTCTGAAAAATTCAATACATATAGTGAATCTTTTTCTATTTCCAATAATCTACTCGTATATCAAAAGAGTTTTAATTTAAACAATAATTTTCAATTTTGCAACTGAATTTTGGCAAGAATCATGATCTAAGTCTGATTTAAAAAACAAAATAATGGATTTGAATATAACGTGTTTAAATAGTTCGACTGTCATATTGAGTAGTGAAGATGGATAATAATAATTATTCCAACTCTTAAATTCCTAAAATCTTAAATCCTCTATTTCACGTGAGGGAATATTCAATCATCGAAATAATCGCTTCTGGGCTTCAGAAAATCCCCATTTCATTATACAAAGGGGATTTCAACAAAAATTCAGTTTTAATTTTTTTGTATGCTCACTGATGATAAAGTTTCTATTTGCATTTATGAAGAAAAGTTGAACTCCGAAAAATATTTAGATATTCTGAGATCGACTATGAGTTATTTTCTAGACAATTTGCCCCTGAACTTGTATCGGAATTGTTGGTATCACCGGATCTGACTCCCCTAGATTTTTACCTCTGTGGAAAAATCTAAGAAACACCTATCAATACGAAACAGGAACTGAAAGATCGGGTAGATGTGCCTTTGAGGAAATCGGCCCGTCGGAAATCCGCAGAGCCACGACTGATCACATAATAACATCATCAATCCATCCATGTTTACAAGCGAATGGTCAGCATTTCAAGCACCTGAGCTAGTGAATTTTTGTCAAGTCAGTATCAAATGTCAAAAAATTGCGAAGCTAGTTTCACAATATTATCTCTTGTTTTTTAGTGTAGAATTAATTTTCTTATCAATTTCATTTTGAAATGTGTTCGTTCTTCAGTCAAAATAGTAATTTTTGTCATTCACTCACTCTGAAATTTCATTCATGTATTCCATTAAACCTTTCTGAACTAATTTAAAGTTATCATTCATTATTCAATGTGTTCAATAAATACATTTTTCGCCGACTTTTGTAATTGAAATGTTATATTTGTATAGAAGCAAAAAAATTATAGAAGAATTCATATCTCATAAAAGGTCAGAGATAGGTATAGGACATAGTTGACCAAAGTTGTTCACATTGGTTGGCTGAATTCGAAAATTGAATAATATACAGGGTTTTCCATTTGAAAAAAATTGTTATGGTCGTAGATACAAAAGATACAAATTGAATTTGTATAACACTCTGTATAAGATAAGATTTGAATTTCGTTCTGAAATAATGACCACTAAACCTTATCTTGATGTTGCCAAAATTTGAGTTCGATGTATCAGTTAATTCATGCGATATTGAATATTAAAAATACCAAAAAATACAAAATAATTATTATTTTAAAAACGGTGAGAGATAGGTATAGAACATGGTTCACAGAAGAAACTTGGATTTAGATGCATCATTCAAAAATGATATAATATACAGGCTGATTCACGGTGGATGGCACATTAGACGTTTCTGGTGAACCAGACAACGGATCACTTTGAAAATTTAATGGAGGGCATATTCGGACATTCTCTAGCCAACTAAAATATTTTCGACTAAAAAATAGCAAAAGTACAAAAATTGTGTCAATTTTATTTTCGGATTTTTCAAAGTGGGCTGCAAATAATCTGAAACCATCTCTGAAAACGCGTTATGCGCATGCGTTCCTACTGCTTAATTTTCTCCTTGTAGGAACACTATCACAGAACGCTATTTCCGTTCTCCTCTATGTTTAAGTTCTGTGAAACCGCCTGATTCCATAAGAAGTGAAAACAAATATTTTCTCAGCACTAAAAAGCAGCAATGAAAGTACCACTAACATAATTGTTTTTTTTTGTCTGAAATGATACTAAAATTTTCCAATTATGAAAGTAATAAAATGCACAAAACCTTTCTTGATTTTTCTTTCAGGCAATGGAGTAAAAAATATCCAATCTGTATTACATTGTCCAAAGATCAAATGAATTTTGAACCTGATATGTCTTCTGCCCTGAACTCGGATATACAGAACCATCTAGAAAAAGATAAAATTAATTTGGATAAGGACAAAAATCTATCTTCCTCGCCAAGAGAAAAGAAAGGATTCAGAAAATATCGAAAGAGAGATTATTCGTCTTTGGTATACATTTTTCGCCTATTTAATAATCATTTCTACTCTGAAAATTATATGTTATCTTGTGAATTTTCTAATTAAGACACTTGAATTAGTCTCATTACACATCACCTATTTTAGGCACAGAGATTCAGTAAGTTGGCCGAAGATGAAGAAATTGATTTGGATTCTGATTCCAGAGCTAGTACTCCTTCTGCTGAGATGTCAGTGAGTATTTTTTGAATATTCACAATTTGCTGTAAAACTATTTTATTCAGAATATTAACATAATTTGTTGTTAGGATGTGGCAGAAACTCCTGTACTGGAAGATGAAGATATTTTAGATTCAACATCTGCCAGAGTATCTTATGAGAAAGAGAATACAACATCTGACTTAGCAGAATGTTCTTTACAAGAGGCAAGTTATACTTGAAAAATATTCAGGAAATAAATCTTGCAAACTGAATGAGGTTATGTTTAGTTATAGAAGAGTTAGTTGCATAAAAGAATCAATTAAAAAAACAATTACTATCCCAAAGCTGTGTTGGTCAAACCGGATAGTGGATAGTGTTAACACTAGAAAGGATGTCGATGGCCTCGATACAGCATATTTTAATTTAGTAATTAACTTGAATAATTCCCTTTTTTCCATTCTCATTTTTTCTGTCATTGTTAAAGACAGACACCACCTTATCAGTATCATAGATAAAGCCAATCGTTTGTTTCATGTCTTTGTGTAGTGTTGTTATATTTTCAACACAAAGAAACTCCTTTTAGGTGAGAAATCCATTTAAGAATTAATGATTCCTCATTACATCGAAATTATAACAGTTATAACTTTTGTGGGAGGTATGTTAATGAAAATTAATTTTCACAGAGCCCTGAAAAAGGTGATTAAATTCGAAACGTTAGCAAGAAAACAATTGTTTAAAAAAAATGATCCTGTTACTCAACAAATCCTTCTATAAAAAACTGATTGGATCAGTAAATCAGATAATTTATCATGTTTATTTCATAAACTACAATTCACGATTTGATCTCCACAAACTTTATTCGAAAAATATATCACGAAATCTTTCGCTAACACAAAAGCTTCTTCAACAGCTCTTCTTTCAAATAAAGTTTGTGGAGATCAAATCGTAAGGTGTAGTTTATGAATTACAATTCACGATTTGATCTCCACAAACTTTATTCGAAAAATATATCACGAAATGTTTCGCTAACACAAAAGCTTCTTCAACAGCTCTTCTTTCAAATAAAGTTTGTGGAGATCAAATCGTAAGGTGTAGTTTATGAATTTACTATGGATCTTCATCAAGTAACGGCCGAATCAATCAGAAAATTATCATGCTTACTCATTTCCAAAAACAAGATTGTTCCTCGATTTTTCAAATACATTTTTGGTCTTGTCAATGATAATTGTAATATAATGGCATTCATTTGTCTCACTCATTATAAATCATACACTTTTTGATAGAATATTCCAACGGGAATACAAATATACATATTTGGACGCACTGATCGAGAGAAAGAAGACTGGTTTAGAAGATTGGCCAAAGCTACTCATATCGGATTAGATGCTGCATCGTCACACTCGAGCAATTCTGATATCAAGGAAACTGGTTGTGATACTTGCGAGGAGATCGTCCAGAACCAGACTGAAGTAGAGTATCTGAGGTACATGAATATGTTCAAGGTAGGAATTATAATGTATTAATTGAATTGAATCTCTTCTCATTTTACAAAGAAAATTTATCAAATTCATCTCAAAAGAAATACTTGCTGAAAGGTTGAGCTGTTTTTAAAACTATATTTGAAACTATAAGTAATAAAAAGTTTTTTCTGAGAAACATACATTGCTTTTATTAGAGAAAAAGTATAACATAAAACGATACTTATGATGCACTGTTTGGAACCGTTGCTTCCTCTTTGAAGATGATCACTTGGTGATCGAAACACGTGTCGAGGTGTTAAAAATAACGATTTGGTGTTGGGAAAAAACTCCAGTAATATTTATAAAACGATAGTTACGAAGTTAAAAAACTATAGTTGAATGAACTGTGTTACTTTTTTAAAGTTTGATTTGATCCAATTCTTAATTTGATAAATGTCTTGGAAAATTCAGTTGATTGTTTTGCAGTTGGAAACCACTGTATAAAATCTTTCTGAATTATTTGTTACCTATTGTAACAACAATGTTTCTAAGTTGAATTTCTGATATAATTTTGCTTATATTTTCCCAATAAAAATAATATAAAAATGCCTTTATTGAAAACTTTTTTGGCAAGAGCAATTAATATGATGCCATTCAACATTTTGCAAGCCGTTTCCTCCAACTTTTTTTTTGGTCTGTTTTAAAATATTTTGATTATCTACATAATTTGTTGTTCGAATGTGAAAAGTGCATGGAATTGCAAATTGAACTTTAATTTCTTCTTGAAACAAAATTGAAAATGCCGACTTTTCAGGCCTACCGAAAAACGTACCCTTTGGGGTATCTTGTAGACTTCCCTCGATTCCAATTTTTCACTGTTGTAAAAATATAACTATCCGGTATTATTGTTGTTGAACAGGAAGTATATAATTCAAGTAATTTTTCTAGTGTCCGACCGAAACTGGTTTTTACGACCGAAACCGAATTTCGGCAACGGTCTCAATTCCCTTACAAGGATTATGTTTTGAGGGAAAAATAAAGAAAACGTTATTATAATCAGTCAGTCTTTATTTTTTATCTTTAAATCACAACGTTATGCATTCTTCGACATTGTTACTCATTGATAATCAACATAACAAACCCTTATTTAAGAAAAAATATTATTTGCACCCTAAAAATACTTATACGAAACCGAAACCAGTTTTTTTTGCCGAAACTCGACCGAAACCGAACTTTCGATCGGACACTAAATTTTTCTATCATTATTGATGATTCACTATGACCGAAGTCCATTATTTGTGGTTTTTCGAGATATTCATAAGATAACCACGAGTGGCACTAGTGATTCAAGGTCAAATCTAGTTCAAATTGTAATCTATTTTTTAATTTGAATATTCCATAATTTGAAGAAAATTCACTTTACTGCTCAACATTCCGGAGGACTGCATCAGTTAATTGAAAGTATAAAAAACACGTTTTCCCTATTCACCACATGTACACCATATGTTATTGCAATATATTCTGCCAATTTTGATTTTCCTATATCTGTTGTTTTTAATTCTACTCGAAGACTTCTGAATTTAAGTAGAAATCTTATCCTTATCAGTGTCATTCAAAAACAAGTTGGTGGAGCCTATTTAGGAAATACTGTTGTGAGAAGATTTACACACATCCAACATGCTTTTTTGTATTAATATGTATTATTCATATTTTCTCTGATTTCGAGAAAAAAAAATTAATAAAAAACCAATGGTTACCTATTATTCCATTTTCAGTTGTCATATTTAGAGACAGTTATGAAACCCTTTCAAGTGACCCTTGAAAATATAAAATCTGAAATTATTTTTGAGAAAAATCAGAGAAATGTAGAAAAGGGTTATAATCACCATGGTTTCTATGAAAAAAGTACATGTACGGTCAATAAATCACTTTCAATTTGTATGTGCATAAGACACTATGATCTCTTTGCTTTCATTATTTCAGTTAGACTCTTCAACCCATGGCTTCGATGCGTTGTAATAATTATTCTAAAAAATGTCCTCAACATCCACGGGACAAATTATAATTAGCTATTCAAATTATTTGCCACAAAGTAAACCTAATAAACAGAGAATAATATCTTTCTGGAATCATCAGACCAAGATTTTTTTTCACACAAACACCAATCCAACACACCAGAATTGCAACATTCTTCACAAAGACCTTTACCATTGCGTTGGATATCAGGAGATAAACTATATTAATTCCTCAACTTTTTGCCTTTAGATCTAACAGGGTGAAATGCCACTCTTACTTTCAGAAAGACATTAAGTATTTCTCGAGTATAAATTATTAGAAAATTCCCACTAATTTCAACAGAGTGGTTCAGTTTACACAGTTCTCAACATTTTAGATGATGTTCATTTACTCTGTTCTACATGTCATGTTCAGCAACACTGGACTTTTTTAGTTTTCAAAATCAAATATGCTCCACATGTTCATTGAAAAGATCTTTTATAGCCTGTGTAGTTTGACCAACATATTTTTCATTTGTCTCTTCAGATCACATCAGGGATACCTAACACTTTTTCAAGTTACCAAGCAGTTGTGAAAACTACTTTCATATTGTTTATTAAGGTCCGATACCAAACAGCCCATTTCTTACATTTTAACTAACTGTGTTGAAATTATTGAAAACTTTTCCAAAAAATTATACCCCAATTTGTACTTCAGTAAGATCCCTGTCGTGTTGTTCTGTGAGACGAACTGCAACTGGGGATCTTGTGAAATTAGAAAACCTTTCAAAATAGTGGTGTAAGAATCTGTTTGGGTTTTTTCTAATTTTGTTGAAATTGAATAGTGCACTAGAAGTCAAAAACTGAACACTGTATGTTTTATTTAGACTTCCAGAAAAGAATCTGCTGCTACAGATAATAAAGATACACAAGATTCCTACCAAGAAAAGGCAGAGGAGGCCAAAGAACAGTTGTGGCTGAACGCTTTGATCGGCAGGGTACTTTTTGACTGTTTTCGAGATCCAAACTTCATTACAAAGGTCAAAGATAGGATACAGCGAAAGTTATCAGCAATAAAACTACCATATTTTATTGAAGAGATACTCATTCCAGAACTTTCTCTAGGAAAAACTTCACCACTCATCAAAAAAATTGGGGAGCCTCTCATGGATGATAGGGGAATGTGGATTGATTTGAATGTAACCTATGAGGGAATGATTGTCCTAACTTTGCAAACGAAAATTAATTTGATGAGGCTCAAGAATCCTCAAGCATATGGTAAGTAATTTCAGGTGTTAACTTCAGTTTATTGTAGACTTTTCAATTTTCAGAAAAATCTGTTTCGGAAGAGAGGTCAGCTATATACCATTCCGACATTGATGATTCCGCTGAAAGTAGTTCAGACGAAGAAGGTTCCCAAGAAGTTCCTAATATTCCGGCCGATACTGCCAGTGGGTCAGGCCATTCCGGTAAAAAATTAATTAAGATGGTAGATCGAATCACAGAGTCAAAATTTTTCCAAGCTGCTACTGAAAATCGATATATTAAGAAAGCTATGGAAGGTGAGAGTATTGATAATTTTGCTGTAACCTGGGTTTTATAAATGTTTTATTTTCAGGTGTATCAAATACCGACCTGAGACTTACTGTGGAGGTTAAAGCTATTGTAGGTACGTTGGTATTGAACATTCCTCCTCCACCATCTGATAGGATATGGGTCGGATTTCGTCCAGTACCAGAAATATCTTTATCGGCAAGGCCTATTGTGGGAGAAAGGAACATTAGCTATATTATGGTTACTAGCTGGATAGAGAAAAAGTTGGTACAGGAATTCCAGGTACATGCTTACTGAAAGTTTTTTTAATCCCTGTGACTAATAATTCCTAAGAGTAATTCCTACCTGTAATGGTACCGAAAGTATATATGTATATTTTCAACTCAATCCAGTTGACTCTCATGACTTGAACAAACAGTTCCTCAAATGCGCACGTTTCGCTTACCAAGTTATCATTATCAGATAGACTGACGGTGTTAATTTGGTTAGCGAAACGCGTGTCAAGAGACAGTATTTTTGTTCTGATGAGGAACAAGTGTTCTCAGTAGTGTCAGTTGTATTACATAGGTCGTGCGATACTAGTGCTTACTTACATTTCTTATCTATTTCTTGAAATATAGAGACCATAACTGTACAACTTGTATCAGTTGACTTGAAAAAGGCATATAAAAGCCTATTTGCATCAAGATATGTATCACATTAACTGTTCAAAATTTTTTAAATTATTTCACATACAATTGGTAACACTGATAAATAACTAGATCTAGATTGTTTTCAGATTTGAAAATGTCCGCAGCTTTTGCTATTTTGAGTGCCTTAGGCTTTTGATCACAGAGAAAAGATTGATTAATCAGTTTGCACAATACATTTTCATTTCATCCCTGCAGAATTTCGCTGTTTACACACTTATATTATCATAGTCAAATAGAGATCATTCATGATTTGTTCTACCTCTCTTGGGAATAAGTAAATGAGAATTTAGTTCAGCATGTTGATTGTTTCGCGAGGTTGGGATGATGCGGATATTTTTTGAAACACTTTTTTTTAAATTCCACAATCTGAATAGAGAACAGAGATTCAGTAGAGAATTGGCTGAAGAGCAATAAAGAGCAAATTGTAAAGTTCAGCCTGAAAAGTACTGCGTAGTATAAATCACTACCTACAAATTGAATAGTAAATGGAAAAAACTTTACTTTCTCTATATGCTAATGTTCCCAAAATACTGTTACCTAGGAAATGTAGAAGATTTTCTGTTAGAAATAAATTTTAAGGATGTTTCTTAGAAAATTTACCTTTCATCAACTCCATAAACATCGTGAAATATCTGATATATCATTTATGTATATGACTGCTTTCCCTTCCATTGAAAATTCCTTCATACATAGATACTGATTGATATATGGGAAAGTGAAACAAATGTTCATTGTCGGATATTTTCAGAGAAAATGAAATCCTAAAATATGTATGGCTGTTACTGTTGGACTGATTTTTTATTTTTTTCAGAAAGTGATGGTAATTCCAAATATGGAAGATTTGCTGATACCTGTGATGAATTCTAAGTTACCAGAGTGATTTTTATATTCCAATTGATTTATCCTTAATTTTAAATAATTATTAATTGCTGGTGATGATAGTTGGAGCATACAACAGGTCTAGTCAAAGTGATAGTTTTTTATTTATGAGCCAAAGTGTAGGTTTAGTAGGGAGAAAATAGATTGTTTTTTATCGTTCTTGTTAATGGCTTAGATTTTTATAATTTATTCATCTGAAATCACAAGTTCAAACAAATTATTTTTGTATGAAATATATTTCTAATCATGAAACTAAGACTATGTGTAATTTTATAATAAATGTTGTCCACTTCTAATTGAAGAACATTTTCAGAAATTTCTTAAAATGACCAAGTTTTTCAGATTATAAATATTTTACCCATTTAATAGTTAATTATGTTCACCTCAGGAATTTGTATCACTGAATTTGTTTGTACACATTAAACTTTTGTGTGAAACGCCAGAGCTAAGTTGTATTGTTTGAAATATACAAATTCATTTATTTAAATGAATAAATTTTACTACAATCTTATTTATTGAAAATCCTTATCAAAATGAAAAGTAAAATTTGGGTGAGTATATCTTGTGCCTCATTTCAAAATGTTCACTCCGTTATGTTGATGTTATGTCCTGTCTGCAGTACGTGTTGGAAGAGAGAAGACTTGGTGACTTTTCCCTTCACTGCTAGTTTGTGTTCATCTTTGCGTATGTTGATTCGTCTGTTGGTCTGGCCGATGTAAGTCCTGTCACAATCATGGCATGGTACTTTATACACTCCTTGTGACTCCAGTGGTATCTGATCCTTGGGATTACGAAGCATGGTCCTTATTGGTCTGATTACGAAGCATGGACCTTATTGGTCCATGCTCCTTGTTACTCCAGTGGTATCTGATCCTTGGGATTACGAAGCATGGTCCTTATTGGTCTGATTACGAAGCATGGACCTTATTGGTCCATGCTTCGTAATCCCAAGGATCAGATACCACTGGAGTCACAAGGGGTGTATGAAGTACCATGCCATGATTGTGACAGGACTTACATCGGCCAGACCAACAGACGAATCAACATTGAAAAACCAGAAAAGTACTTGATAAAAATAGCTGCGTAAACGCAAGCAAACATAAGTGGAACCACCTATTGGTGTGACACCCAAATCAACTTGCCAAGTTTTTATGTCAGTGTTGGTGGTTTGACCAATCAACCGACAACTGCGGTAGCAGAAATTTGGGAAGCTAACCTTCCCAAATCGAGGTGTTAAAATAGTGGTTTGATGATCATCTTCAAGAGAAAGGTTAATCTCTCTTGAAGATTGAACTTCCTCTTTCAAGAGATTATTTTTATAAATGGCTGAGATAAGGTAGTGTCATCTGCAAGTAGGATAATGAAACCTTTCCTTATATACTTCGGTTGGTCATTGGACCCCTGTGGTACCCCGAAGAAAATATCTTAAATATCAGATACTGTATTATTCACAGTAACTATCAGTTTCCTATCTTCCATAAAATATTTGATCCATTCAAGAGGGAAGCATTTAATGCCAATATTATATAATGTATTAACCATTATGTCACTATTTATTGAATCAATCGTCTTAGCCAAGTCAAATAATATTGAAACTACATACTTCCCCTTATCAATTTCATTGTAAATAAACTCGAATTTTCTAGCAATAGCAGTCTCAACCAATCTTGCTTTTCTGAAACCATGTTGATGATCGGTTACACAATAATTCAATTTGCCACTATTTTTTCAATAAGTTTAGATGGAATACTCAATAATGATACATGCCGATAGTTATCTATATCTTCATGTGGACCCTTTCATGGGTCTCTTCAATTTTGGGAACAGTAAACAGTCGTAGGGGCCAAATCTGGTGAATAAGGTGACTGAAGCATGATTACGGTGTTGTTTTTGCTCGAAAACAAATCGCTAATCGAATGTACGTAGCCCGCAAAATTTGAACATTCACCTTAGTTTTCGAACAGCCCCTGTATACTGAAGGACCTTTTGTTGAAGTTGGCAAAGTGAGTTTACTGATTTCTTTGTTAAGGGTATGAAAGCTAATAAACCAATATTTTTGAGAATGTAATTCAGTTTCTAATATGAAACAAATCCAAATAAGTAACAGCACAATTATTCTGCTGGTGCTGGTGCTATTGTCAACATGATTCCATCCAAGCATTTTGTATTTTTTTGATTTGTGAATAACCAACAGGATTCACAATACGCCTTCTGAAGTATACCGGAATAGGATAGCCATTTACGTTCAAGTTTCACACCACACTTGGAAACAATATACTAATGTTTGTCTAGTAAAGATCTATATTACTTGTCTTTTAAGAAAGGACCTTTAGGTTTACAATGTCCATTTTCGTACAGCCCTCCCTACTAAAAGAATATCTAGGATTCCCCTAATACCATGCCTAGCAAAATGCCAGCGACATGACAAAAGTACTTTCTCGGTTAGGTGACGCTCGGGAATTCCCGAAGCTCGCCGTGCCATTCCCAAGTATCGCGACAAAAAATTAAGCAACCGATTGATGCATTCTAAAATTGATAATGCATCTCGTCGAAACTGCAAAAAACATTCTATAGTACTTTAATAGAGAAATCTGAAAATAAAAATAAAACCTCTTGGGAAATCATCAACAAGCTAAGAAATAAAACAAGTAACTCTTCTAACTTGAAAATCCTACATGATAATAGTGAATTGACCAACCCCAAGATAATAGCTGACACATTCAACAATTTTTTTACTGAAGCACCTAGGAACGTAGCAAAGTCCATCAAAAAAATTGGTGAATTTGATTTTTCGGGGAAAAGCAACACAAACTCTATTGCTTTGATGCCATTTACTGAAGATGAAATGTTACANCAGCCTACACACTTCAAATTTCGAAACTCCATAAAACGCTTTCTACAAAAAAATTTATTTTATACCATTGATGAATTTTTTAATGTGAACTTTAAGCAAATAATTTATATTGCTGTTGTTTTTTGTAGTTACGTACAGTCTTTACTATATTTATATACATGTACTAAGACATTATATCCTGATATGTTCTATACCCTAATGGGTCCTTTGAATGAATAAGCTGATTTGATTTGATTTATATTTTTTACTAAGCTCGCAGCCATTCAGGCCACAGGGGATGATTAAAAACCATTTATTATTGTGATAGAGAAAACCTGAATAAACAAAGGCTTACATGAATCTCAAATCCACACCCTACACTACTTCCGAATTTGTTTACAAAAAATCCCCAAACTCTTTGGTTGACTGTTTCAGTGGCAGGCAACAATGTGAAAGGTTTGTTGATTAAAATGAAAATATAAAAAAACACATGAGTTATAATTTCTTCCAAGCTTCACATTACATTACCTACTGAATACATTCCAACAAGCTAATTCAGGATAAAATTAATGGATGTTGCATTCTGTGAGCTTTCAAGCACTCTATAGAACAAAACAAGTTTCCCATGTATTCAAACGGTATTTTTCCAGCTATATCTTCTGCACACAAAAAGCATCGCTTTGTAACAGTTCCTGACTGACTCAAGATTCTTCTTTCAGCTGCCAATGCTCTCTGAAATTATTGATTGATTATTAATCAGATTATTTCTTAAACCCAATTTTATTCCCTTACTTTTTCTCTATCACTCAGTTTCAGAAACCTGTCCTTTTCTTCCTCTTCCTTTTTCTTGATTTCACTCTCCTTTTTTTTCACTTTCTCTTTTTCCTTTTTTGATTTCCTTTGTGCCTTTTTCTTCTCTGTGATTTCCTCGTTGGTCAATGAGTTAGTGGGAATGTTAGCCTAAAACAATTTTGAATTGACAGAGATTCGGAGCTTTACAAATTGTAATGTTTACCTTATTATAATTGAATTTGTCAGGATTCATCTTGGCAAATTCCTTTAGAAAATTTCTAATATCCTTGCTCTGAGTACAAGTGTAGGCGGTTTGTTGATTTTTGTTTTTCAAACAAGGATTTGCATTATTTTCCAATAAATATCCAACAATATCAACATGCTCGTTTAGAGCCGCCACATGTAGCAAAGTATTGGAATTTTCATCAATTACTTTGTTCACAAAAGCGTCCTTTTCGGTTCCACTCTCTTCAGAAATTGTACAATTTGATTGTTCTTCTATTAGATGTTTCAATTTGGTTAAATCACCTCTAAATAGTATATCACACAACTCCTTTTTCCTAGCTTCTTCTTGTTCTCTGAGTTTTTTAGTTTTACTTTTTCTTGGCTTCTTCTTGGGCCTTTTTCTTTGTTCAGGTGTTAAGCTATCATCAAATTCCTGCAAGTTAGCGAAAGATATTTCCGTTTCCTTTGAACTCAATTCTATGGTGTTAAAATTCTCATTTATTGCATCGATTTCATTCAATTCTGGTTCTGAGTTGCTATCACTTGACAGGGGTGTAGGAAGTGGTCTTTCTACGGTTTCTCGTGATTTTGCCCTGTTCACACATGATGAACGCACTTTGTTTCTTTTTGAATCTTCTTCAGGAGATTTCTGTTTGGAAAATGTAAAGTTAATAACTTTATAAATCTCAATATATTCAGAATTATACTATAAATTCATGGATTTCTTATATTTTACATATATCTTTACCATAAAGTGCGGCAGTTGAAAGCAAATTATAAACTCTTTTAACTTCGGTGAATGTAGCTCTTCTAGTGGAAAATGGTATTGTTCTAAGTTTTTTGTTATTTCTGTCCAATAATGGAGATGTTCCTCCAAATAAAACTGTTCTGTTGTATGGTCCAGAGGCACGGTATATGACCAGAGAGCTTTCCTCTATCTCTGATTTCCAGGTTTCCACAATCGATTTCACATGCTGAAAAAATAACTTAAATTTATTGAAAGATTCAAAAATTTTCAATTACATAAGAAGAAGAAGAGTTTATTTTGGGAATTACAAGAAAGTTTTTCATCTAAGTAAATAAAATCGAAAAGGAATTCTCAAAATGCAGATATAGCAATGAGAATAATTTGATGCACCATAGTAACTGATTTCAGTGAGAAATGTTCCTTCTCAAAATTTACAAATGATTCAAAAAAATGAATGCTACTAAAACTACTTGGTTGTAGTTATGTTCCCAAGTGATTTCTCATAAGAAATCAACAGAAACACCAGTAATTATGAGCATACAGAAGAATGCATCAACCTCCATAGTTTGACCATAAATTAAAAACGAAAGGGAACCCAAGTTTAGGTTTTATGTTCACTATAAAATGACGAATTATTATAATATATTCCACTTGTGTGAAAACAATCGGTATAGAATGGACTGTTCTTAATGTGTTGTATGCAGATATATGAGTTGGATACAAAATATAACATATAATGCACAGACATTTATACACTATACTAAACCAGCACTGGTCAAGTAAAAAGCTAGACACTAATTAATTGAAATCATACATATGGCAGTGAGGAGAGTTAAACACATATTACAAACTGATAACACTAAAACGCTAATAAAATATATTCATAGCTGCTCAAGGTTGAGACATTTTGTGAAGTCATTATAATAACTACAGTAACTAATAACTATAATAAGTATTAGGTTCAATAGAAAGAATCATCATTTCACTAGGTCCAATGAGCATCTTTACATAGTCACAACACTCTGTCGAAGTGAATAAGATATATACGTTGCTGAGTTGTGAATGAATGATTTATTGGTAGGAAGATCCTAATACACAAACATAATATACATAATATTTCATGTTATACACACATAGTAAGGATATAATACTAATACTATTCTATTGTGATACCTTTCATATAATCAGTCAAATCTTTTTTGAATTGAAACAGGTTTTTATTATTCTTCACATTTTGGGGAAGTTTGTTATATTCAATGAGGCCTTTATATAATAAAATTTTTGTATGTTATTAAGAAGTGTAGAAATGTGAGAAATGAATGTTTCGAATTTAATTTCAAAATATTTGTTTTCTCTATCATAAATATAAGGTTGCGTACTATACAAAAAAATCAATATGTATATTAGGAATGTCTTCTTCAAAAATTGATTGTTCATATACCATATTCAGGAGACAAGTAACTCTTCCAAATAATAGAATGCTCTATTACTGTAAGCCTTGACCTATAAGCATTTTATCTTTGGATGTTGTCATATTTGCAGGGTAAAATATTGCAAATGAGACTGGTCGGGTTTTCCTCAGCTAAATTTGATGTGGTTTCAGGGGTACCCCAAGGGTACCACTTGGGTCTTAAACTGATTTAACTGCTTGCAAATGATAGGTCAATGTTATAATTATTAGTGCTTCTTGTTTGCAGATGAATTAAAGCATATTAGAGCTATAAACTCCAGTGTGGATTGAGACATTCGTCACGGGAATTTTAACTCTATGGAAGAAATCTTGTACCTGAGAAGTAACCTTATGTTAAATGCAGCAAAGAGATCTTAAGCAATATTTTCTCGCAATGAAATTATGAAGTTTATGTATGATATTGAAGGGAGTGCATTTTAGAGAAACTTTCCTTAAGTTATTAGTTCAATTAAACAGTTTTTGTGTTTGTTCAACCTCATCTTTATAATCATTTTTAAATGATTCCAATTTCTTATGATAGCTTTTACTTACTTGTACTAAAGACTGTTCATTATATCTCCTGAGCGAAGCTCCAGCACTTTTGGGTTGTGCCCCACCTGATTTTCCATCTCTGGCAGATTGAGATCCTCCTTGTCCAGCTCTTACAGTGTAGCAGTGGAATGTTTTGTGCAAAATTGGTTCGCCATTTCGAAATACTGCGCCAGCAAAATGACCACCACCTAACATCAGTATAGTCCACTGTTTGTTAGTCACACAACATTCCTTTAAACGAGTTATTAGGATTTCATCAGATACTTCCTCCTAAAAATGACTAATAATCAGTACCACTCATTGCCAATAATAAACATTTTTTATAAAACAAGTCCTATAATAGGAGGGCCAGCATTTAGGGTTTTTTTTAATGTTATGAAATTTAGGATTTTTTTTAGTTCCGGAGAAATTTAAAAAGAACCATAATTCGCCAGTTTCGTTTTTATTTTCATGACATTATTTGAGAAGATATTGACGATATTCAAGATGGTGTTTACAGATTTTTAATCGGCGGGAAACCATCAGTAATTTTAGTTTGTTATGTGGACCAAAAAGGAATATTTTGGTTCATTGTTTTCGTGGTTGAAAAATTCAATTTGTCAACGCAATCTCAATATTGATGTAGAAAAATCAAATCAGTATAGTCAGCCACATACTATCTATTAAACTTTGTTCATGCATTTTTAGGTAATGGACTTTATGTACTATTACTCATGTCATTTTTTTCAAAGACTCTTGACAGCCTGAATATTGTATTCATCCTGGAGACACTCAACTCTTTGAGCATTCTAAATTGGTTTAATTCATACCTGACGAACTGGAGTCTGATAAGCTAGAGCAAAAACTATCAGATGATTATACTATCCCATAAGGAGTACCTCAAGGTTTTTTTCTGAGACCCTTAATTTTTCTGCATTTTGTAAATCATCTTCCTAACCACCTGACTGTTTGAAGAGTTACCATGTTTCTAGATGATACAACAGTCACAGTATGCGGTAAAACTCTTGAAGAACTACATAGGAATATTGATTCAATTGTTGCTGAAATGGAAATGTGGTGCCAAAGAAATTGTTTGATTTTAAATAAGGAAAAACTGTTTATTTGAACTTTCACATGAGAGAGGCAATTACTGAAAATTTTCGCAATATTAAGTTTTGCCAAAATGAGAAATTGCTTGGCACTTATTTAGACTCAGATCTCAGTTTTTCTTCACACATAGAAACAATTGAATGAAGCATACTATGCTTTTCTCCAAACGAAACCAATCTTAGATATGAAAGAGCTCCTGAAATAATATGCATTTGCTTGTAGACATATATCACTTAATATTGCAACATGAAGAATAGCAACTGAACAGAAGGGAGTATTCTCTTCACAAAAGAAGATTATAAGACTTGGAAACCAGAAAAGTTGTAAAGGGACTTTCAGAGAACACCATATTCTTCCATATTACGCAACATATATACTCAAATGTGTATTATTTGTGAAAAGTAATATTTCTGAAATTGGCATATTGGGAAATTGTCATAATTACCCTCCAACAACGTGCATACTTGAGATACCAAAACTCATAACGACAACTTACAAAAAATCTACTTCTTATAATTGTATACCTCTCTATAAGTTACCACAGTTCCTGAAAGATTTCAGTTGCAAGTTTAAAAAAAATTAAACAAAAAGTATCTACTGGAGGAATGCTTCTACTCTACTGAAGAGTTCCTCAATCACTGAATGTTAACTAATTTCCTTGTTTTAATATTTTATATATTTCGAAGTTTATTATTATTATTTCTATAACTATGTGTATACATATACTATATTGTGTGATATATTTATTTTAGCATAGCATAGGACTTGTCAGTTGTACTATGTAGGTATTTTATTTATGGTGGATTAAATATTACTACTACTTTGAGTTAACCTTTTTGGTGAAAGCTTCTCTTATGAATCATACATAAATGGAAACTTCTTGATTTCAAAACGCCATTCAAATAGGCTCCCAAGTTAACAACTTTTTTCTAGTTCAACTGACTCTATTTACTTGTGATGCACTGTTTGGAACCTTTGGTGCAGTAATGAATATTATTGGAGTTCTATCCCAACACCAAACCATTATTTTTAACACCTTGACACATGTTTCAATCACCAAGTGATCATTTTCAAGAGGAAGATTAAACTGACTATATTTCTCTTGCGGTATTCGTGCTGGCCCTCCTTATCTTAAACTAACTGTATACACCAATTTGTCCGGAAAAATTCTGTAACATATATTGTGGCTTTGCAACTCTTTCACATACTTTCCTATCAAATAGCAGACAACGGTACATGGAAAACACTTCTCTTTTGTCATTTTGAAGAAATATTTTTCCTTGGGCAATAGCATAAGTATCCAGGGTGTCTTCTTTTTCTGAATCAGAACCAGATATACTTGATAGATCATCTGAAACATTACAACAAATAAAAATTAACATAAAATATGATTTATATGGATTCTGAGAACTCAGAAAGATATATGTCTTTGATGAAACCACTGCGCACCAATAACTTTACCATTTGACTTATTCTGACCAATGCATAAACTTTCTCTTCAACTAATTTCATTTTTATGAAATGATTTAACAAATATCAGATTTCTTCCTGCATTATCTGAAATGAGTTGATGATTATTTAAACATATTCGAAGGTAAGATTCAGCTTCTGACTAGGAATTGTTCATTTTGAAAAACAAAGTGTTTTTTTGTATCTTTATTAGGATAAGTCTATGTACAGTTAGTACTCCTACTTTTTCACTAATTGGGAGACCTCTGATACCATTTTTGATTTCTCTTAAAGCCTGTTCAAGAACTTCAATATAATTTTGAATATTAGCTTTTTGGACTAGAATTGTCTATAGCTTTGCGGCACCTTCATTCTGAAAGTAAAATAAAATATTAGAAACGATGTCAAATAATTGGTAATATCGGCGATGTGTAAAAAGGAACAGTAGGTGATCAGAAACAATGGATGATTAGAAACAGCAGGTCAATAGAAACAAAAATAGGTTTATGTTCCATATGTGATATGTGTAATTATATCATGCTTGAAAGTGTTAATAAAAGGTGAAACTGGAACCTCCGGCGAAGAGTAAATCTAAAACAAGCTCTTTTCCCAATATCCAGAAATAAAATACTCTTCTCAAATCGACGCGCATTTTGACGCAAGTTGGCGTCTTCAAAACATGAAGAAAACTAATTCCTAACTCTAAAACACTCATCAATGGTTTCAGGTAGAAATATGCGGTAGTAAAGTATTGCAATTTCGGGGATTGGTAAAATAGTGAGGTATGTGTTAACGAATTTCCAAGCTAGATGTTCAATTTTGTCTTACCTTGGTACACTAAGTTTTTCGGATCCATAGAACAGGTTTATATTTGATGTTCAACTACAATGACAACTCCGCAAGTTTCGCCACTAGTGACTTCTGGGATTCAGTTTGATATTTTTTACGATTTTTTAGCATGTTTTGCTATTATGTTTCCATTTCCCTCTCGGTTTCTATCCACCACATATTATGATACCCATTATGAGAAATTTCAAAACTGTATTTGAAAATACAGTCAATATACAATTATTCTGAAGCTTCATTCAAAAACTATTGGAGAAAATCCATAATTAGAATTTCAAATACATTTTGAATGAGGAAATGTATATTTTTTTTTTTACTTATTAATGAATGCCGAGAACGTGTTGATTATGCTACATTGCACGGTTGACATGACTGTGACAACCGTAATGCTCCCAAGGTGGATCAAGTAGTAGTTAGCAATATGGCTAACCCAGAGAGCTAAGAGAGTAATCATGACGAAAGTAGTCGACCTCTGACACCAAAAGTAAACATATACTTTGTTTATACAGGGTGTTAATATGAAAACTATCCTCTCATATTTTCTTTTATAAACAAAATGATCACTAATGAAGTGGTGAAATCAATATATTTTTTGAGAAGGTCCTACATAACTGTCAAAAAAATATTGAGCTGGTAAGGGTAACACAACCCCTTTTAGGGAGTTGAGCCACAATATATTCTTTGATGCTGTCCTTGAGAATGAAATTAATGTCTCATATCTTCCAAGTTATTTAATGTTGGAACACCCTGTATATCCGCATATCATTCACAGGGTTTATCAGACTGATGAACCAATTATCTTTCTATTAGTGATTGGTATTGATTCTTATACATAGGAAGTAGACATCAGAATGAAGTATTTGAATGTTGAAATTCATTTTATATATCTCATGATTTGTCTAGTGTGCTCTAATGTATCGAAAAGAAGAATAAAAAACCATATTATCTTTTGAGACATATATTTTCGAATTAGTAAACATGAAATATGTATGTTATGTGGTTCTAATATAACATGTATAATATATTCCACAAATAAATAATTCAATGATTGCAATAAAAAAATATTTCAATTCAAACAATTTATAAAAAATATCTAAAAATAAATAAACTGCCATGCAATATAATGCTTTGTACACATACTTGAAAACGTGGCTACAAGCTACTGATATAAATATTTTTTTGATATCATGAAATACAGTATAAATATATTCAGCTGATAAACGAAATCACATTTGCTAAGAAATAATTGTCAGTATTGGTTTTGACCCAAATCATATTGGTAAACTAATTCATCACAAACTAAAAAAAAAGTATATGAATGTAAATTGTCAAAGTATTTTAAAGTTTCTACAAAACTTGAATTTGGTTTGATGAAAATTGTATCTATTTATACAAAGTGTTTCTTATGAGTAATAAAACTGTCACTTCAAAATCGATTTTATTTCTTGTTAGTTTTTGAATTTAAATACGTTTCTTTAAAAATATTCATCAAAAATATTCTCATAAATGAAATAAATTTAAATTATCTGAAAGAACAATTCTTTCAGGCTAGCCTCTACTCATCTACACTGTAGGTTAATGGATTGACATCTATCAGAAAACAACTACTCCCCTGGCTAATACCACGAAAAGCATTGTATTATATCTGATAGGTGTCAGCGCAGGATTCTTCATAGAAGCAATTCCTGCATATGCCGTTGGCGATACAACTGCCGGAATCGATTTTCAATGGGAAATGTTCCTCAATTTGGGTTATTGTTGAATGCATTATTTCATTCCTCTTTTTTAAGTATTTAAATATTTTTTTAAAGAAAGAGGTTGAAATGATAAGTTTAAAATGCATTGTTTTAGAGCTCTTTTATGAAAACTACTTGATTTTCGTCAGGAGGAACATTCCCCATTATTGGAACGGGCACACTTGCAGACCGGTTTCGGGCTATTTGGCCTCTTGTCATCAACATGAAGTCGATTATTTCCCACAATTATGAAATGAATTTCTTCATAGCGCACCCTATATAAATATATACAATATACAATTACACAACTTCTACCACATGATTGTTATGAAAATTAATACAGCAATATTTTCCTTTCTCATAGAAACCCATGGTTCACAAATAGAAAATTAAACTAATGGTGAAAGGTATCTTGATGGTTTTTAATTTAACCATAAATACTTTTCAATTTTCCTACACCGTAAATGCCATAACTGCCCAACAATATTTGATTTCAGATTGCTAATTTTTCAATACTGCAATGAAATTCCTCTCAGGTACATATATGAAAAAACAAGAACTCCTACTATTATAGCAAATACATAATTCAGGTGGAATGTATGTCCAGATTGAACCCTGAAAAAAATATCATGTATGAAGTTATAACATCATTTACAGTTAATATTCTAGTTTCCAATAAAGCCAATCAAGGACGAAGGATACAGATTTAAATTTTTTCAATAAATCCTATGTGGTAGGAAATCACCTTGAAAAATGAGAAATAAAACTGTGTTTTTTCACCACTTGTATTTGTAACAAATATTACTGAATACAAACGAATACAATACGTCTATTGTATTCAAATACATGTGGCAAAAAAACACGAAATTTTATTTCTCATCATTTTTTTTGTGAGGGTTGATTTCTTAGATATATTCCAAAAACCTGTCAGAATCGCTTTGTTACAGATAAATCATCTGGGTGAAACCTCATGTTAGGAGAAAAATACTACAGATAATTCAGTAAACAAATTATATCTACAGAAATAGTAGATTTGATTGAATGATGTCTTGAAAAGAATATAATCGAATGATTGCAGTTTTGGAATCAAATAGTCGGTTATGGATAAATGATAAGATGCTGTCAAGAAAAAAAAAATATTGATACAGCTGAAACAGAATACAGAAGTTGATCTCTTATTGATGTCGAGTTGTTTACTTATCACTGTTTTATATACTCTGTGACCAAGATAAGCAGGGCCAGCATGGGAAATACAAAAACTGTTAGCGATACAAAGTCGGTTAAAACGGAAAATAATGCCTATTTGGAGATATTTCAATAGAACCGTAATTCGCCAATGTCATTCCAATTTTTCCCTAATGTCGCCCACTTGTCCGGCACAGCACAACACGGCCCGTCCCGTCAAGATACGGATGGGATTGGAACAATGAAAATGAATGGACAACCGCCCACTAGCCCGGCACGACACAGCCAAGAGCGTCCACCGCCGGAAAGGATTCCAGCTCTCCGATCCTGTCCGGCAAATAATTATTTGCCGGACCGCACGTACCATTATAATGGTACGTGCGGTGACGGACTGGCCAAGTGAGCGCGTCGCCGGCCAGCACTTGCCAGCATCAAGTTGTCCAAACGTGCCAGAAGGTACCTATGAAAATGTACGAGGAAAAAAGACTAGCGAATGAATTCAATAATATTATTTTTTTTCCATCTATATCTGAATTCAAAACTCAGCACAAATTGCATGTCACTTAACCATCTTAGGGATAACTCAATTGTTAGGGATGCCCTACTTATTTTGCAAGAATAAACAGCAAGCGCCAAACGTGATGGCGAGCCCGCCCCCATGCGCACAAACTCATTTTCAATGTAACCCCCACTACAGCTCTTGCAAGACATATAAATGCTCTGTACAGATGCGTATCATTACTTGTTCTCCAATGCTGTTGGCGTTTGGCATTGTCTTAGTGATTTGTGTTGTTTCTGGAAAAATGTCATTGCCTAACAAAAAACCCGTCATCAAGAGTGTATCATTATATAACAGAAGTGATTCATTTGCTACCCTAATTAAAACTAATTATAGGTCGTTGCCACTGGCCGGCAAGGGGCTTTTCGTAATCCAATAATAATTCAGTTGCGAGAGCCTAAACCTGCGCGATCGCTCGCCATCACGTTTGGCGTTTGCTATAAATGATTCTATATTATTGTACAAAATTCTTCTATACAAGATTGTTATAAAAACGTGCACTTTAAGTGATCTAGGGAGTATACTTCTTCTTGAATTACTTAATAAATGATTGTACATACAAACTTGCGTTCTAAATGATCTAGGGAGTGTATTTATTTTTCTTCTTGACTTAATTAAATTCTGCATTTCATTAGTTGGGACTTCTATTGTCTAATATGATATAAATTAATTTGAAATACCTGAAAAAATCTATGAAATTCAAAAAGATAAGCTGAAGAAGAACAATTATATTAAACAAAAAAAACTGAAATTACAATGAAGCAACAATAAAAAAATAAAAAAATTGAACTATCAACACGAGATGAAACAATCAAAACGTTGTGAAGTAACTTAGCTTGAAATCTTTTGTTGATAAATAAATAAACACTTACCCCACCAGAAATAATAATAATTATCATGTAGTTTGAACATATAACACAAACAAAATGAAAACACAATTTTTGAAGGGTTAGAAGATTTCAATAACTTCTCAAATGAAATGAAACCAACATTTTCTCTATTTATTCAACCGTATATCTCTTATGATTCCTGATTTTCTCTTGCTGGCCCTCCATATCTTGGATACTGTAACGAATCTGAAGCCGGCCCTGACCGATATCTCAGCCAGCAAACACATGACTCACCTCGAACTGCCGCGAAAAGTATAGATGAGTACTGAAACCACTAGAGGAATCTAGAACGATCGTTACCGATATAAAACATCAGCTCCTCGTTCAGAAAGGGAGTCTGTATTCAGAAAGCGAATCGAGCGGTTAACAAAGAATTCGAACAGTAAAGATAAATTAAGCGTTAGTTGCTAAGTGTTGTATATAAATTAGTTGTGATAGTGAAATATTGTTGAAAATAAATTTGTTTAAGACAGTTAATTCTTCAATTCGTTACAATACATTGTATTTAAAAATCACTATGAAGAATATCCAGGGATTTATTATCATTCAAAGAGGAAGTTTCATCAGATACAGTACTTCTCACTCTATGCATTTAATGCATCTTTTTGCAAATTTTGTGCAATATCCTTCAACTTGTCTATAATATACTGCTAAGAGACAACTACTTAGTTCATTTTGCTTTTCCTGAGTGCTATGTCTGATAAAACTCTTAAATTGAGACACTTAATAACCTTCATATTCGCATAATTTCCCGGTCCCGGATGCCACACAGGTAGCTATAGCTGTTGTCTTAGTAACTTTAGTAGTTTTGATGTAGACACAAGAGCTTTCAATCAAAACTATGTGTGCGGTTGACTTCTGCTTGTGGCACCATGAATACTGAGAACCAACTTGAATGAAATGCGTGCTATGTTTTGATTTTTCTGAGTGCTATGTCCAATGAAACTTTCTCTTGGATTTTATACTAATTTAAAGGACAGAAGGACCGTGTGACTCACCTGTATTTATTAGGTGAGAGTGGACTTGGAGGCTGCACACCAGGAATGTTTGAGTCCAAATATACCATGATCCAAGTGAAATAGCTGCTCAAAAACCCACATAATGCAGGTAACCAAAGATTACTGTATCGTACAGCAGTTTTCCAAGAGTACATTAGCATTTCATTTCCATCTTTTGTAATCACATTGTAAGTTACTAGTTTTTGTTCCAAAAAAATATTTTCGATAGTACTACCTGGAAAACAACAAACAGTGGAACGTCAGCTCTCCTTGAACCATTTGTACCAATAGCTATAAACAATCAGTGATATAGTATTTTCATAGAAACAAACAAAAACTAGAATGTTGTCATGAATAAACTTCGATTTTCTGAATATTCATTGAATGAAATATATTTTTTACTTGCAAGATATCAAGAACTTGATATGATCCTGAATAAAATATAGTTGAAAATATTTCTTGGAGTATGAATTAATTGATGTTTGATACATACCTCGTCATTTCAAATGCCTATATAACGTATAATAATGCGTAAAACAGAAAATTTATCTTCAGAAAATGCATAACTATTTGAGATAATACTAGCAAAAGTTGATGACAAATATGGAGAAGATACCTACAAGTATATTAGGCAACTGAACAGTTTCAATTTTTAGATGTATTTTTTTTAAACTATTACACAGAGTGTCACAAAATTCAATCAATAATGTAGAGAATTTCAAGGGCTCTCAGTTAGCGACTTACTCGGTCAATCATAATATTTGAACATTTTGATGTTGATTGTCTATGAACCAAATAAAAAATTTGAATTTGAATTTCAATTCTACAGATGAAAAAATTACATATCTACTAATTTTTACAAATTTATGATGAATATGCGGAAAATAAATCATCCTTGTATGGAGAAGATATACAGGGTCTAACATAAGTACGTTTAAATATTCAAGAGACGTATTCCTGAGACAATTTTAAGAAAAAAAGTCCATATGAACTTGTGTCCGAAAATGCTTTGTTTCGGAGATACGGGGTGTTGAAATTGATTTTTTTTGTTCGCTTTTTCAAAACTAAATTTGATTTTGTAAAAAGATGTTAATATTTCTGTGATGGTTTTCTCATAAATATATATGACCATGTAACACAATTTTCTTTCTTTCGTTATTTTTATATTTAATGTTTTTTACTGTTCCACCAAACCAAACCCCCCCCCCGAAATTGTTTTCTGGCTACGGCCTTGAAGTCACTGATCTGTATCTGTAGAGTAGGTAAGGTGAGTGTGAGCCCCCAGCACTTAGGCCACATGTGACCCATTGTACATCCTCCCAAAAAGTTGTCCTCCTAGGTCATCGTCCATTCTGTCCTTACCAGGAAGGTGGACAGGTCACTAGGAGGACATCTCCTTTATATCGGCAGGTGTAGGCCAAGACTCGTCGAACACACACTCTCTTATTGAAGATAACTCCGGACACTCGCACAGGACATACCTGACAGTGTCATCTTCCTGTTCACACATCCTATGTAGAGGTGTGTCCACTAGCCCCATATTATGAAGGTGTTTCCTTAGTTGACAGTGGCCACTCAGAAATTCAACTATCAAGTGTAGATTTTTTCTGGTCATCGCCAGATATTTCTTCGGCGCCAGCTTCCCAGGGTCGCCCAGGGTGATCCTGACAATATTGCATCCAATCTTTTTAGGGATTGAGCATGGGTGTGACGTTTGCCTAGTTCGACAAATGTCGAAGTCATCAGGCCATAGGTGTCACTGAGTCCTAAAATTCTTAGTCCAGTCGCTTCCTTCGCTAAAGAGTCGGCAATGCGATTATCTTTACTCCTGTCGTGCCCTTTAACCCACCTCAGGATACTGTTAGTATCTACCGAGGTTTTGGCTAAATCTTGGTGGCACTCTAGTACTAGCCCTGAGGTAACACGTTGTCTGTTCAAGGCTAATAGGGCTTATCTACTATCAGTGCAGATTGTTATGTTTTTGCCAGAAATTTCTATCCTGCTTATTTCTTTTGCGACGATTGATATACCAGCCAGGTCTGTTTGAACCACGTTGGTATTTTTTCCCATTCCCCACTTAATCCTTAGGCTTAGTGATCTGGAGTACACTCCACATCCTACGCCTTCTTTGGTTTTTGAGCCGTTTGTATATATGCGTATTGCATTTGTAGCATCTGACTCAGTGTTCTGTTTTATTTGTATTTTGTAGGGTTTACTAAACACAAATCTGGGTCCAATTGCATCACTGCCTGCCTGCAGCAGAGGTTGCGCAGTAAGCACTTCTCGCCATAGGCTCAACCACAATTGAGCCATTCCTAACAATCATAACATGGCCATTAATGCAACCTCATTAATGTACAGATCCAGAGGGGTTACACCACTAAATAATTTCACTTTCGCAGTTGGTATTGTTCTCATGGCCCCTGTCATGTTTAAACAACGTAATGGCTGTATTTGATATAATTTTTGGATGGCCGTTGCTTGTAGAACTTTCGGTCCCCATGCAACGGCTCCGTACGTCAACATAGGACTTATTATTGCAATTTAGATCCAGGTGACCAAACTGGGTGAAAGACCACATATGAGTCCTACTCTCCTCCGACATTGCTCATAAGCCACATAGCTCTTTTTGCTTTACTCTGTAGGTGAGAGTTCCATGTTAGCTTCCCGTCGAGGGTAGTATCAAGGTATTTTACCTCTTCAGAGAAGTTCAGTTTGCTTTTGAAGATTTCTGGAGGTTTTAAGCCCTGATGAAAAGGACCGTCTCAGTCTTCTTGGGATTGATAGACAGTGAGTGTTCCTCACACCATGTTTCAATTAATTTGAGCCCATTCTGCGCTTTATCGCACAGTGTGTTCACAAATTTGCTGGTCTTCAAGATAACTATGTCATATGCATATGCAATTGTGTAGAATCCATTATTGTTAAGGTGATTAATCAGGGTATCCAGAACTATGTTCCTGAAGTAACTGATGTTAAAGTTTTGCCACTGAGATGTTTCAAAATTATAATTATATACTTACTTGTATCCAAAAAATTTAATAAATCACATTCATCTCAGTATTTATTATTGCCACTGCATAAACAAGTCCACCAGAATATTATAGGAGAATTGTAAAATCTTATTTTTGAAATAAAGATAATTATTACTAGTATCATTATTAATTGATAATGAAAATGTAATATGTAACTTAACTTAAGCCGACAAAGTAACACAATGAACTGCATATTTGCTAACAACAATTATTGTGTTTTATTATTTTGGGTTATATAAGGTACCTTCTCCAAATCGAAAAACAACTTAGGTTCTAGATAATGACATCGACTTGAATAGCAATATATAGTTTCAAAAAAATATAGAAAATAAAAGATATGTCATGTACAATATCACTAAACTGAAAAAGATTTCTTTCATTGAGGAAGAGGATGTGGAGAATGATAGCTGACAAGCGACGTGGAAAATCCATGTTTGATTTTGTTTATGTGGATATTCGAAAACATGAAAATTTCAAGAGGTAATCATTGTTTCCAGTTTCAGTTAGATTCAATACTCTCATACAATCCTACAGAACATTACCTACTAAAAAAACAAAACATCACAAAATGGCCTTCCTGAATGTCCATGAATGAGGCAGATAAACGTCAAAGTGGCAGGTGTCTGTCAGGTTTTAGATGAAATACTCAAGTCTTCAGATCTAAGGAATTTAGTTCTTTAGGACCACCTATTGAGTTTGTTGAAACAGTTTACACCAAATGAGATAATGTAGGCATGTTTATCTTTATGGACATTGAGGAAGGACATTCTTGCAAGAAGTGCAATATTTGTGTTTTTTGAGTATTAGTAAGTATAATTTTGAAGATATTAGAAACCACATTCATCTTAGTATTATTATAAGTTTATGAAGGAGTTTGTATGATTTTTAACGCAGAAACTTTTTGTGTTAGACTTTCTAGTCTGACAAGCTTGCAATTGCACAATAGTATTCTCATATAAAACATGTGGAATCCTCAATAGAATTAACAATTATTGAATGGATGTATTCACATTACCTCATATATGGCAACCAATATTATTTAGAATATAAATTATGATGAAATATTCTCAATGTTGTGTTAATGATATATTGCTGAAGTGGTCATTCCAAAGAGATTTGTTATTATTCATATTACAGATTTTTTTCTAAATAGTGGACATAACTGGATTAATCCATAACTATAAAAGATATATCATCAATAACCATTGGCATATACTTACTTACCGTAAATTATGAAAATTTTATATGAAATCACCAAACAGGAAATAATTAATCCGCAAGCAGCAATTTTTCTTTCACTCACTACTGGTGTCTCTTCTTTGAGGTTATGAGTTTTTGGGGTGCCGTGTGGATAGTCCGAATATTTCTCACTTAACTTTTGACGTAGCATTTTGAAAAATTATAACCGTAGATTTGTTCTTCGATCGAGAAAGAGTTGATTTCTAAATTGAAATCAATGAATAATAAAACAACCAGAAAGCTCAAAATCTTCTATTAAAATTAACTTACCTTCTGTCGAAGTGCCGTAATACGTAAACATAATCTTTATTCATCAGTGACTCACGACTGCAGTGTTGCCGGCTGTCTCGAAAAACCATAAGTCAAGGAAGGAATCGTGAATATGCTAATAGTACTCAAAATTGAAAACATGCCTTTTATTACTTTTTCGGAAAAATAAATGGATGGTTGTCCATCATGTTTGGAAACATGTGATCAAAGCCATATCATCATATTTATATTGAGTAGCTAATACTATCACTATATCGTTGTTGTTTCTTCCTGAATTCAATTGTTAGTAATTTAGCTGTGGCAACTTCGCTTTTGGGATGAATAAACATATCTATAGGTGACGGAGGTTCAAGTAGCAACGTACGTTCGAAACACAATTAATGAGAATATCCATGTACAGAACGTTTCAAAAACAACCATCAACAACAGTTAAAGCCAGCGAGACGTCGACTTTGTGTTGATAGTCTCAAAATATACCTACTGATACCCTAAAGAACTAGGGCATACACCCATTTTACTATTTTACTGACTAGAAGAATCAGTTTTTGCGAAATGGGCATTAAATATTAAAGTTATTACATGAAAATGCGCATTTTGTCACAGGTCATTCGGTATTCCTTATTTTCAAATCAGGTGATCTCTCTTATCAGAGAAAGTCTTCCTGTCTCTCTATTTCAAATGCTCTTATTCACTCTCAAAACAGAAAGAAATCCGTTTTCCTCTCGATGTGAGAGTTCACCTGATTTTAAAATAAGGCCCCAGTGTAGGACTCGACTAGATTCTATATAGCATCTCTTTCCGCTACGAAAGTGACCAATTGATGACGTATTACTATCGTTTTACAGTTCAACAACAATAATGAATAGTGATAATTAATGAACTATGGACATTTCATATTTTACAGTAGGTAACTTTTATATTGAAATTGTATATTACAATCTTAAATTCTGACAATTTCAATTTCCAGTATCGGAGTTGAAAAATGAAATAGTAAAATATACTTTACAGATAATTAATAAAGTGCTGATGAGTTTTATGAAATTGATGGGTAACATAGAATTACTTTCTAGTGAATCTATACTAACACAATGAAATAGAAGTTTTTTGTTTGTTTTTTAGAATGCTGTCGGATTTGAAAACTCATTTTTGTGTAATTAATAGTGTTAGGTAGCACTAATACATTGAGTCACTTTACTCTGAACAACTAATATATTCCCCAAAATAATGTTTCTCCACAACAAACGTATTGTAACGAATTAATGAATTAACTGTCTTAAACAAATTTATTTTTAACAATATATCACTATCACAACTTATTTATGTACAACACTCAGCAACTAACGCTTAATTTATCTTCACAGTTAGATTTCTTTCTTTCTAAGTACAGACTGCCTGACTGACTAGAAGCGGCGCCTTTTTATATCGGCAACAATCGCTCCGGATCTCTCTAGGGATTTCGGGACTCATCTACACCTTTCGCGGTGTTTCGCGATGAGTCATGCGTTTGCTGACTGAGATGTCGGTCAGGGCCGGCTTCAGATTCATTACAGTATATTTCCTACTCTAGTCTACTCAATAATGAATATCTCCCCATAAACAGCTGCTTCCATGAATCATCTCCATTACGCATAACTGGACTATCGATATATAGGGAGGTTGCTCCTAATAATATAATAGCCACACTTCTGAGGAAGGCATCAAGCATTACTACAATAATTCTTAATCAGACTTATGTGCTGACACTTGGAAAGTAGGTGAGTCAAGAGAAAAATAATATGGAGTTTCTTTATTCAGGTGCGCTGGCGTAATGGTCAACTGTACGAGAATGCCATGTACTACAAAGAAATCGGTTTTCAGTAGATCTGAAAATAGTTTCCGATACTTGTTTAATTCTTATAAATTTGCCATAATAAAGTTATTTCGTGTCAAAAAAAACTTCGGAAACTGAAAGTGAATTTTTTTATCAGACACATTTCTTACGGAAAAAAGTTATTTGCTACTAGCCATTATTGAGCTGATTTATAAAGGTGAACTTGGGTGTTTTAGCGAATTTCTTTGAAGAATAGTTTAGGAAAAATGTAAAGTTCAAATAATTCAACATTACAAAATTACAGATATACAACACGAATCTGATGTCAGTTATGTTAAACTAAACGCGGGTACTATATAGATGTGCCTTCATTGAAAGGTTCAGTGCGGTAGCCATATGTCGTTTCGTTTTCATCATTACTTATTTTGGATTGACAAATCGATGAAGCATGTGTAATCTTAGTCTCTAATGTAAATTGAAAAAAATTTGATACCCCACTACTTTACTTTCCTCATTTTCCGAAAACTCTTGCGGAATGTGTATAAAATGTTGAAGATATTTCAAAATCCTACTGAAATGGTGAAAAAAACCTGATAGAGAAAAAAGTTGATTCATGCCCATATACTCCCACTTGACTCTTGCAATTTCAGTAGAATTTCTACATCATTAAACAAAAAATGTGGGAAACTTTCAAACACCATTTTTCTCGAGAAATGAAATTTTTTCCTAAAAACATTCTCCTTACCAAAACACTATTTTCATTTGTTATATATTTGTCCTTATTACTTTGAGCAAACTTTTCCGGAAAAGAAATAAAAATATATGGGGTTGTGAAGAGGTGAATCAAATTTTTATCCTTCTGAGTTTTCATTTGTCATTTGCATTTTGGAAAAAATAATTCCAATACTTATTAATACCTACCCATTCGGAGAAAAATTGACATTCATTAAGTGAAAGTGTGAAGAAGTTAATACATTTTTTATAGTGTTTTCAATCCCTACTTTTTATTTAGAATATATATTTTCATAAAATATTTCTTTAATACTTGGGATGCACTGTTTGGAACCTTTGGTGTAGTAATGAATATTACTGGAGTTTTATCCCAACACCAAACGTTATTTTAACACAGTTCAATCTTCCCTTTGAATATAACCACTTGGAGATCGAAACACGTGTCGATGTGTTGAAATGGCGGTTTGGTGTTGGGATAAAAATCCAGTAATATTTATTTCTACAATGTTAATATAATGTACGCAAGTTACCCATTCAGAGATTTGTACCCCCTGGCCACTCCTATTAATGAAACAGCCTTTACTATTATGATAGAAGTCCACGATTAACGTAAGTCGTTACTAAATTGATTGTTATTCTTTTCTACGGTGTTGTCAATGTCTCAGTTTCAAACATGAAATTCTGACTTATTGCATTTTTTATTTGTTCAATTTTCATTGGTTCAAACTGATATAAATATCTGGTTATATGATAATAATGTTGATTTAAATAGATTGAGTTCAAATTGAATATGATTCAGTGATAATTGAAGACTAAATTCAAATGGATGACAGATTGTGGTAGGTATGAAATTTAATCAGTCAGATACGTAAAAATACAGATCAGATATTTATCTTTAGGTGTGTCGAAATTTTTTCACTCAAAGATAAAGATTATTTCATCTACACTTTATGTAATCTTTTTGATGGCTTATTTGTTATGTAACTTCATAAGATTTCAAGGTGAATAATAGCCAAAGTTTCATATTTTATCATTAACTCTTGTTTTATGCTTCAAGAAAAAACAGAAACTAAGCTTTTCGGTCTTACATCAAAACATTTTAAGGAAAAAACTTCAGTATCTTAAAAAACCTGACTGATGTTTAATGCGCTTTCGATCATCCATTGATAATGAAATACGATATGGAAATAGAATAATTGCATCATTCCTCTAGAGTAGCCTTTTGTTGAAAACGTTCAATACTCCAGAGGTCTTCAACAGATGCCATTTAATAATCGTCGATCAATAATCTAAAAAAAAGTGGTCTGCAAACTGACAATTTCTATTCTTTCATTTCCAACGTTTCAATGACGTCAATTCTTGACTGTTTAAAACCTCAAACATCTTGGTGAAACCGTTAGCGACTTTGTTAGCGAAACTAGCGTTGCGAACTGTAGTTTAAGTTTCAATGGGAGAAAAGTGTTTTCATTAAATTCATTCTACGTTAGAGTTTCCAATTCTACCCACCAAGTTGGCAACGCTGTATAGGTGCTCGCTATTCTCATCAGTCCGGTTACGAGACTCTCCACCTAAAATTTAAAATTTTCAGTGTTGTAGCGACCGTGAGTTGTGATTGTTCCGTTCGTGGTAATTCAACAATAGTATAACAGTCGCGTTGACTCATCAGTCATTCAAGAATTCTTCCATTTCAATAGGAAATGCTGGATTTTTAGTGCAAAAAGTGAAACAAGAGATTTGGAACATGGCAATGCAAAAAGAAGTCGGAGTAGGCGATTTTGTTCTTATGGACAAAATCGACCTAGACAATTTCATGAAGAATCTTCAAGTGAGGTTAGTATATTTTATATCCAGTTGAATATACATATTATGTTGATGAAGATAGAAATACCATCGAGACGTATACGAGTACTCGGTCATCAGTAAAGGTATATTGGTGTAGCAGCATAAGTAATTCCAAAAATACATGACAGTTGCAACAAAACAACAGAAGTAGGCAAAACAACCGACGACAGTCGGAGAACCTAACCCACCTTTATGTTTGGCTTTATGATTTGAATGCTAATTTGGACTGTAACCTTAGCACGCAAAAATATTTCAGATATGGGTCAATGAAAATGTGTAAAGAATATTTATATCAGTGTAGATGCGAAGTTATACAGGATGTCATAAAAAATATTTTTGGTGCAAGCGATGTCTCGTGAATGATGAATCAAAAGACAATTTTTCAAGTAGAAAATATTTCTTATTGTCATTAAATCATGCCTATAGCCACATATAACAGAAATAAATAAATGAATAATAACTAGAGCAGGTAGTATCTACTAAAATGTCACAAAAACATTTTTAGAGTTTGGATAATTTTCAGAGCAGAAAAGGATCACTCGAAGGGTCATCAGATGTGACAATATTTATGTAGATATCGAACATTTATGTACTTACTTACGTGAATTTTACTTGCTACTGATATCACTATACGTAAAAACGCAATCTACCCTTACATATACTAGTTTACAATTGTGATTTTTCTCAATAACTTTATAATTT